ATGACCAGACCGAAGTTCTCGCAGGCGGCGGAGAACAGGTCCATGCTCCGTTGCATCTCCTCTTCCGAGGTGGTGTTCAGGGCGCAGTCGTCGGCGAAGAGGAGTTCGTGCACGGTGGTTGTGGATACGCGCGATTGGAAGTGCATTCGCCGTTGATTCAGGAGGTGACCGTCCGTCCTGTAGGCGATGCGGATTCCGGGGCGTTCGTCGCGGTAGGCGTCCATCAGCATGGCAGAGAACATAAGACTGAAGAGTGTAGGCGCCAGTACGCAGCCCTGCTTCACTCCATTGGTCACTGCGAATGCCTCTGAGACAGCTCCGTTGTCCGTGACTCGCGCCATCATACCGTCGTGCAGCTGACGCACCATCTGAGTCAATCGCTCCGGACAGCCGAATTTCTGCATGATCTTCCACAGTCCTTCACGATTCACCGTGTCGAAGGCTTTCGTCAGGTCCACGAAGATAGAGTACAGGTGGGTCCGCATCTCCTAAAACTTCTCGTGAAGTTGGCGGGCGGCGAAGATCATATCCGTGGTCCAACGATGACGACGGAAGCCGCATTGGCTTTCCGGCAGAAGGCCCTGTTCGAGATGGTTATTGAGACGGTTGAGGAGGATTCGTGTGAAGATCTTCCCGGCGATGTTCAGCAGGGAGATGCCGCGGTGATTGTCGCAGAGTTGGCGATTCCCTTTGCGCTTGTAGAGATGCACGATGGTTGCGTCTTTGAAATCTTGCGGGACTTCACCTTGACGCCACATGTCTTGGAAGAGCGCAGTCAGGTGATCCATCAGTTGGGGACCTCCGTGCTTGTAGACCTCAGCAGGGATTGCGTCCGATCCGGGTGCTTTCCCGCTGGAGAGCTGCTGCACGGCCCTAATGGTCTCCTGGAGAGATGGCGGGAGGTCCACGTTGGTCTCCACTTGCGGCAAACGCTCGATGACGGCGTCGGAGATGACCGAGGGGCGGTTGAGGACGCCTCGGAAATGCTCGGCCCATCGCTGTAGGATTTTCGTCTTCTCAGTCAGGAGAATGTTGCCTTCGGCGCTGAGGAGAGGAGCAGTGCCCTTCGTCGCCGGACCGTAGACAGCTTTGATCGCAGAGAAGAAGTTCTTCCATTCGTTGCGGTCCGCGTACCCTTGGATCTCCTCAGCTTTGCGAGCGGTCCAGGCGTCCTGCATCTTGCGCAGTCGTTGCTGAAGTTGGCGGCGGCTGCGGTAGAAGGCAGCTTTGGTGGCATCAGTGGGGTGATCTACGTAGACTTTGTGTAGGCGGTTCTTCTCGGCAAGCAGATTTCTGATGGCAGCGTCGTTGTCGTCGAACCAGTCCTGGTGTTGGCGGGGAGCGCGACCGAGGACGGCGAGCGCCGTCGATTGGACTGTGTCACGCAGTTAACACCAGCGGTTCTCCACGGAGGCGTTCTCGGCAGCGGCGGCGTCGGCAGCGATAGGAAGGTTGTCTAGCCTTTGAGCTAGCTCATTGCTGAAAAGAAGATGATGAGCGGGCAAAGACAACAAGGCAACATTCAGCTTACCTGGGGGTCGATTACCTTGTGGTCTCCTGCGAGGCTGTAGGCGAATACGCATCTTCGAGATGACGAGGCGATGGTCGGTCCACCCGTCAGCACCCGCGATCGCTTTCGTCACCAGCACGTCCCGCTGATCTCGCCTCCGGACGAGGACATAGTCCAGCAGGTGCCACTGGTGCGACCGAGGATGCCTCCAGGTGGCCTTCTCTCGCTCCGGCAGACAGAAGAACGTGTTCGTCAGGATGAGGCGGTGTTCTGCGCAGGTGCGGAGAAGCAGCAGACCATTGTCGTTTGAGCCGCGGAGACCGTGGGGACCCAGCACTCCTCTCCAGGCAGTATGGTCTGTGCCGACGCGGGCGTTGAAGTCACCAAGGACAATCAACTTGTCCGCCTTCAACACAGTCGCCAAGAGGGCGTGCAGGTCCTCGTAGAATTTGTCTCTGACGACGTCGGGGTTGGTCATCGTCGGAGCGTAGGCGCTGATGATGGTGGCGAATTTGCCTCCCCAGAGAGGCAGACGGAGGCTCATCAGGCGATCGTTTATGCCCTGCGGCAAACAGGGCAGTCGTCCCACGATGTCGTTCCGAATGGCGAAGGCGACACCCGCATCCCGTCGCTCTGCCCTGGGTCGACCGCTCCAGAAGAAGGTGTAGCCGGCACCCACCTCCTCCAGTTGGCCTTGTTCGAAGAATCGGGTCTCGCTGAGTGCGGCGATGTCCACCTTGTAGCGCGCCAGTTCTCGTGCCACTAGCGCCGTCCTCCGTTCCGGTCGGTTGCTCCTCGGATTGTCTAGAAGGGAACGAACATTCCAGGCTGCCAGAGTGTGCGGGCTCACCCGGCCAGTCTGGTGACAGCGAGTGGGGCGACGGGAAGGAGATGGAGAAGAAGGTGACGAAGGAGAAGTATAGGCAGAAGAATAGGCAGAGGAAGAGGAAGAAGAGGTAGGATGAGGAGAATGAGTATGGTTGTTGTTGTTATTGGTATTGTTGTTGTTTCGATTTTGATTGTTTCGACCATGATTAGACGTCTGCGGCCCTGGCTAGCCTGGAGACGGCGTGGTACCCAGCAATGTTTAGGCCACCTTTTCTAGGCCCTTCCCCTCGTGGGGGCTGGCAGTGCCATCCCAGAATAGGGCTGCCATGTGCCGTTTTGGCACGGCCGAACTCCACTATGGGACCACGACTTCGGGTTGTAGTGGAGAGCGACTCGAATTCGCCGTAAGCCGCGGTCTCCGACGGCGTAGGTGGGCGCGTCAAGGCAATGTCGACGTGGAGATCCATCCCGTCACCGGCTGTCCAGCGGCGTGCAGAGACGAACCACGTCACGACGGTGCCGACGCAAGGTTCCATCCGACCTTCCATCCAGCGGAATCCGCAAACCCTATGCACACGGCACAGCGCACAGGGCCCCCTCACCTGGTTTAGCCCGCCGGTCGAGACGGTTGCCCGGGGTGTGGCCGCCGAGCAGAGTCCAGCTACGTGGATCCACAGGTGAGAGTTGAGTGCCAGCAAGTGGACGCTAGGCGCAGTCTCCCCTGCAAGCAAGTGAGCGACCACCACGACCATTACGTGAACCCACCGCTGACACCCCTACACCCCCATAATCAGTATAGCCACGCGCACACAAACATACAGGTGGGCGACTGCATAATTAAGTTACTTTTTGAGTTACACGTTTCCTGCCCCAGAATTTTTCCAGCAATATGTGGAGCCCTCTATCCGCATCGGCTATATCACAGGCTGAGAATCCTCGATTTTCTGTATCGTATAGGCTAGCCCTTGCAAATCTTCTTGCGCTTTCTATTTAATTAAGACCTTTTATGATTTATTTAATTACTGCGTACTTTTATCGAAGTTTTCTTTCCTGGTTATAGGCTTTGTTTCCGTCTGGTCGCGGACCAAAGTATCTGGAAACCGAACGTAACTATTTTTTCTCTTGTCTGCGTTTCTTGAATTACACCTCTTTCTGGCAGTAAGCACTGACACATAAGACACAATTTACGTAGCGCCTCGATTTTCACCGATTTTCTGGCATTATAAAAGTGCTGCAAACAGGAGGGCTGACATTCCAGTTCACGGAAGCTGCTTAAGTAACGAGGGAGGCTGATTAATTTGGACGCTCTCCTTCTTCCTACGGGTTCATATCTTGATATAATTTTAACAACACTTTTTATGATGCCCCCTAGAAGCATTAAGGCACTTCTCCGATCAACGTAACTGACAATGTACTGACTTTTGCCTCCCGAATTTTAGCCAACAAGATACATCTTTCACGTGAATATGCCAAGCTTCTGCCGAAAGAATTCCTTCAATTAATTCGTAAACAATTGGTTTTGGAGGATTCGCCGCGGATGTCGCTGCCACGCTACATAGTTACAATCGACCCCAAAGTGTTTTCTGAGGTAAATTGTTTTCATCTCAATGGAGGTTGAAGTATCGTTTTACACAGATTTTTTGTATATCAGAACTATTTTCAGCACGAAAACAGAAATCAATCTCCCTTACTATACCCAAAGGGACTAGACCAGGAGTGTTTAATTTATTTCTTCCAAGCTTTACTCTAGCATAGATTGCAAGAGGAAGGCTGGCCTAGTCTGTCTTGCCTTAGAATGGTGACTCGGATTTATTTCAAAAGTGAAATATGCTCATACTAGTGGCAATGATAGTGGGCTGTCAAGCTGAGCTTTGATAGTGGGAAGAGCGTTCTAGTAATGTTCTAAAAGACTTGAAAAGCGGTTACTGGAGGAGCATCAGTAATATCAGAAAGAAAGCCCAATAATTACGACGACTTCAGTACTTGCCGGCATTGCAGTCTATTTGTAAACTGATGTTTATGGTATGCGTCGGGCCTCCTGAAACATTGATTGAAATCCGTTACTACGTTTCTAGATGCAAGAAGTTTCATAAGTTTCGTCAGGCTGTAAAACCGAAACGTTTTCAACTAATGGACTGTCATCCATTTCTTTTTGTAGGCTTCCATGCATTTAGTCTGGTTTGCTGGAAAGTTTTCCAAAACTTAGTCTATTATTTTTTTGTAAAATCTATATTTTTCAAAGAAAGTTGTACTTTGGAAAAATAAGTATTTCAGGATAAAAAAATTTCGTGAGTATGAGATACTCGGAGGATGCTTTGTGTCGGCTATTATCCGCGATTTCATCAATGCTTATCACTAAGTAAACGCTTTCGAAAATCTTAGGCAACGGAAAGCCTGACTCTGGGAACAGTGGCATTTATGATGGATAGAAAGCCCTAAGTTAATCGGCGGAACTTAAAACAGCTGTCCCCCTACTATCTATACAGTCGTTAGCCCACAAAAAACAAAACACTCAATATCACTCACAAAATATCAATCCCAAACTGTATAACATGTTTATTGTTGTTTTAACGCTAAAACATTCCTTCGGTGTTGGGACAATTGTCTTTAAATCTTACCGGCAATCCGTCCGTCGTGAGTGAGGAAAACCATAACTGTACCAAAGTTGTGTGCACATTCGTTTATAACGAGGCGGACTGGATGTTTACCTATTTTACTCTTTCTTCCCACACCTGTCACGTTCTGTCAGTGAGGCAAATTGATGTGACCAGAGATGGACTTGGACACAGTGGCTGACAAAATTAAACGGCCCGCCTACTTGGGTTACACATGGCCTGGTCCCCAGCTTCATACGCAGCGGGCTTCAGTGAGGATCCTTGGAGCTCACATAAATGAAAGTGCCATGAGAGTCGCATTAAGCGGGAGCAATTGCAGCATGACTCTCTGTTCTTATTTGTCCCGTCAGCTAGCAACGTCCCAATACACGACTGTTAGCGCGTAGTAACGATTTCAAAGATGGCTTATTTGCTCATAATGAGGAAATCAAGCCCCATATATATGGAGTGAATTACTGCAGTCTGTTTACTCCTTCCGGATAGTGAGGATACTGGGTAAAACGCGGCGTGAAACCCCGTCTGTACGTGCGTACCTTAATGGCTAAAAAACTCGCACAGTCTCGTCTCCGCTCAGCTAACGCGCGCCATCCATCAGTTCGACCCTATTTTCGGTCTGATGCAAACACAGACTATAGGAGACAATGAAAATATACAGTGCGTGACCGATCTCATGAAACGTTAGCCAAAATTCTGGAAGGCATTTCCGATTAAGAAGGATTGTTTAAGTGAGGTTTTTATATTGATTAGCATGCAGCATAACCCTGTAACATTTCGGACTCATCAGGATGCCGGCTTTTGAATGCACTTTTTTGACCTGCAGAAACCACACTTGGTAAAAAAAATAACTACTTATGTAGCATGCATTTTCCTATTGATTTTCGATGGTCTCATAAATTCATATATATTTTACAATAAGTATACAGAAAATTGGCTTTCTTTTGCTCATTTGCTAGGAAATCACATTGTCTTCATATTTTATGCCTAAAGAAAGTATATATTTAGGTTTTAAAAAAGTTTCCAATTATGAGATTTTTGAGACCGTGCCATGTCCATTCATTCAAGACCGCACATGTCCGTTTACTATTGCTCCTCATGAAATGTACAACACAGTCCGAATCCATTGCAAAATTTCATAAACTCTATTGGATATCCTCTTAGAAGCATAGAGGGATATATAATTCTCCTTAAGCGGAAAGCATGCACCTTGTAGACTGAAATTGCTAAACGCTGAGGCAGTGGCAGATCAAGCTAAAAGGTATTCGGGAATCGGGAAACTTTTTAAAACCTAAATACACACTTTCTTCGGGCATAAGATATGAAGACGATGCGATTTCCTTCCAAATGAGCAAAATAAAGCATATTTTATGCATGTTTTTTGTAAAATATATTTGAATTTATAAGACCATCGAAAATCAATAGGGAAAATGCATGCTACATAAGTAGTCATCTTTTCTGCAGGAGGTCAAAAAAAGTGCATTCAAAAGCCGACATCCTGATGAGTCCGAAATGTTACAGGGTTATGCCGCATGCTAATCACTATAACAACCTCACTTAAGCAATCCTCATTAATCGGAAATGCCTTCAAGAATTTTGGCTAACATTTCATGAGACCGGTCACGCACTGTAGGTTGTTTCTTGAGCTATTGTGGGTCTTTAACTTCCTATTTGGAGTATAAACTGTGAGTATGTTGACATTTCCTAATAAACGCCTAAAATGGGTGAAATCGTTATTTCTCTTTTCTGGAAAATGTGATTGTGTATGCACAAATCTCGAAGCTCTGGCGAAACGCCCACACTAACGAATATTTAATGATTTCTGTGTAGAGTTTACATAGGTGACTGGAAATACTCTCAATTCAACTTAACCATCTCGATGTTCATTAATTATATGAGGGCTTACTGCAATCACTGATGATTTATCCGTTTCCGAGAACTTACTTAATAATTTCAGTAACCTTCTCGACTTTAATGTGTACTGTATATGGACTTATACATTTTTCGGCAACTTACGCGTGTAAATTAAGCCTAACCAAAAAGGGCTAGATTCATGAAAATATGACTTCCTTCCTAAATATACAGAATTTTCCTCCTTACTTTCTTGATACGGAGTAATAAATGACGCTACTCATTGAATGTAGCGCTGGATTAAACCAAGAGTCATTATACTTAATTGACTTAAATATCCCTTTTGGCAGGTTTTTCGTGTTATTGAGACATAAAACTGGGGGAATTTTGGTGAAATTTTCAGCTTCTTACAAAGAAACATGTCTTATCTTTCACTGCGATTGCCCATATAGAATACAACTTTTGGGTTATTCGTCGTTCGTAAGGTTGATTTTTCTCATTGTTTTTTTTCTCTGTATTTTTTGTGTCAACTCCAGCTCAGTGGACTTGAACTCGAAAAACGACGTCTCGATGTTGCAGTGAAAATGAGTCCCAAGTTCTCAGAAGCAAAGAAAATTATCCAAGAAAGATTATATGTGAGGGGTTTTCATTTGTGGTTGCTGTCTCTGTTGAGCATCTCTTAATTTTGCCACTTTCACGAAAGCCGGTTATATTTTTCTTTATTGCTGATTTATCTGCTCCCCAACTCTTCTCTTAACCCGTGAGGCATTTTACGCATGATTCCGAATCCGCCTTTCCGAATTTTTTATACCCATGTAGTAGGTTTATACTGACTCTAATCTCTTCCTGTATAAATGAGATCACAAAGTAACCTGCACGTAAGTTTACTGACTATTCAGCTTTTGCTCAACTTTGTAGAAAATTGCGGTCCGTTCAAGGCGCAATGAAATAACTCTAATCATCTTCCACATCTTTGCAGAATTGAATGATTTTTTTTTACTATCGGGTTTTTACTGTGCACCGTGTCATGCAAACTGAATTGTTCCCAGTACAGTCTGTTTTGATCACTCTAAAAGGGAATAGAAAACACCCATTTTTTGAATCCTTACGGAGTGTTGAAGCAGAAGCATCTTTGTATCGGCAGTTTTGCCAAAGCACCTAAACAGTGTGCATATCTTGAAATATTATCTAGAGACATGGCAATTTTGCTCATCATCTTCTGTCTGTAACTAAAGGAGAACGACTGAATCCTAAACAAAAATCAATTTTCGAATGTGAAAAACTACTTGATCCTGACAACAACGTCTTCTATTTTTGAGAGGCGATGGGATAACTCCTGGTTCTTATCTCCTCTGACTACTTTTGTGACATAGAAGGATGGTAATTAGTGTCCCCTATCCTGTGGGCTGGGCCAGATTTCGGTCGACGGGACCATAGCCCAGTTCGAGAGGTCGTTCGGTCTTATTTCATCAAGGATTAAGTATGTGTGCGGCGTAAACGAATACTAACTGTTGTTCAATAAATTCGCCTGCCTTTTAACTCTTCTGCTTTACTGGCCGACGTGTGCATTCTATCCAACAGCATTTTTACTACCTGACTGCTCTCCGCGTCGGACTTTTTCTTAAAGATGGGCTTTCCTCTTACCGAAGAGTCACGTGGGGGGAGTACATAACAATGAAACAATGTAGACATTTCAGCAGTGCCAACGCTTCGGGGCGGCACAGGTCAACGAATATCATCTTGCCGACGAAGGGCCGACCAAAAACTACCGAACAACACCCACTTTTTAAAATAGCATAGGCAGTTCTCCGTAGTTCTTCCTTACCCCGAGCACATACTTAACCCTTACCACTATTTCTAACGCAAGTAAATTTTTAATACAGACAGGGTGCGCACATCCCTTGTGCAGATCATCCTGTAGAAGTAATTTCCCAAGGAAACTACTTCCCATGCACTTTGAAAACTTACTCCTCAGGAAACGTGCTTTTAATCATCCCCGACAACAGTGTATGGAAGAAAATTATTATGTTTGGCAATTGTGTTTTACCCATTTAGGGTCAATAGGAATTTGTTCAAACTTCTTATTCAGAATTGGTGTCATTTTCTCTCTTGAAGCCGTTTTGAAAGGAAGTGTTTTTTCTTTAAATTGTGCCTTAGAAATTAGGAAGTATTGCTGGTTTCAAAAGTTCCCTAACTCGTCTGTTCTATTTAAAACGGCCCACATTTTCACCTCCGCCAATTTTCCCCTTTCTGGAGTACACGTACATGGAAACATTATCAAAAATTGACGATCGTTGCCGGGGCGTGACACCCTGGACTACATAAGATCATGAGACCAAAGCATGTTCAAGTTGACATCCAATAAAGTTTCTAACTTATAGTTATCAATATTTTTTCTTGGGAAGTCTTAATCTCCCAAAAAATCTGCAACAAATTTTGTTTCGACAGCTTCTTCTGCAAAGAATAATTTCCTCTTTTTCCTCTTTTTGAACATCACTCAAGAACATATTTGCTGTCGGGAAAATGTCCGTTCTGAGAGGAGTTTCGGTTTATTTCAGTTTATCTGTTACGGATAACAGGCAATGCCTTTGAAAACACTTCGTTATATACAGCTGTGCACGGACAACTGGAATTGTTATTGTTAAAACAGTACTTATATGATGCAAGTAGCATTGTTTAAAAACTTCCTGAGGTATGCGGATGTTTATCTCAGGTTCAGACTGTCGAAGGAGAATAGTGGACTGCGCAAACACGCCGTTACGTCAAAAACCATCTGACGGAATGCTTCTAATTGCGTCGTAATGTACCGTGAATTTCTTTGACAAATCGCATTGAGTTATTTCCGTCCACGTTTCATGACACTTTACGCAACGGGCATGTATTTCAGGCGGACAACTACATTCATTTTTTAGTTTTATCTGGTAAAACTACTGCAGCATTTGAAGTGGGCTGCCTCCCGTTCGAATTAATTTCGGTCGAATATGCATTTTTATTATGGATACTTTTTGGATAGTGTGTTCGTTGTGTGGTCACGCATTAAAATGGGCGGTGTCGTTTTTAATCACCTTCCAGGTCATTATTTTACATAGAAAACAGGTCATCTGTAGCAATGTCGTACTAAATTGCACTAATTTAAAGACTCTTTCCTGAAATTAAAAACCGCAAACGAAATATCGTGAGAAGTTGGGCTCCCACAAGAGTCCTTCACTGGCAATAGGAATGACGGGGAAAAAACGACCTCTACGTGTTGAAGCCAATCAACGATCATTGTCGCGAATTCGGTGTTATCTACGCTAAGCAGCATGTGGGTGGTTCATTGATACACGTATTGGTCACAGACGCTATGTACAAGCCGATGTAACCACTCAAATATCAGTGTTATTAACTCTATTGATAGTTTCGCACGCAGCTATGAGTGCGATCCGACAGCTACTCTGGCGCTTGGCCGACCTTTACATAAACTACTATGTCGCCGAAGACGCATTTGCCATCTTCAAAAAATTCGGTATATACGCAAAGAACAAGGATCGTTTGAAGGGAGAACAAGCAGTCTGGGAGCGTTTTGCATGAAAATAAGCTTGACATCGACCACGCTGTGTGCTGTATACGCTCTCCGCTGATGTTGAGGCTTCGTGCGAGCCTTACTGGGGAACACTGGGCAAAAATTGTAACCAAATCGCTTGCACGAATTTGTGAAGTGTGAAACTCCCCGCCGGATCTCGTTGCCTGTTCTAATCGTAAAATATGTCAAAACATTCCCAAATTCAGTATGGTTGCCTAGAGATGTTAGGATTATTTCAAGAATTCCTTTAGCTAATGAAGCAAAATGTAGCATAATTTTCATCCTCAAAAATATATTGTCTTTCTATTTCACTGGTTTTCCATAGGCAAACCAAAACGTCCTCGTAATTTCTCTGGGGTCAATGCGCTTCTAACTAATAAATGTATCCCTCAAGGTTTTATCTAACATTAACATCAGTTAGTAGGTTGAACTTTGCTTCTACAACAGGAGGAACTCTTCCTGGAAATCGACAGAGTGATATGTAATTTTTCCCAGAAGCAAAAGCTTACGCCAGGTTATCGTGCTTGTAGTCCAGAGTGTGTTAGTCATCCGTGTTTACTGCCATGAATCGTTCTGTTAAAAAGATCTCTTATTCCAGCAATGATGACTAGTCACGCTCGTCACTGGGGCCGATTTTGATCCCTTCTTCCATCTTGAATATAACCGAAGACTGTCTGACATCCTAATAAGTCCTGCTAGACTTGTGTGAGCACACTTCACAGATCTTTGGTTTTCAGACAGATGAACATAAAACCATGCGATTGGTTGCCAACTAATTTACTTGCAGACAAAAAACTGCCAATCTTTATGAACCACTTCGCCAAGCTGTAGCCTAAACGAAATTTCTGCTCTCGTGCGATGCACAGGAGCACAGGAACGCTATGATTGGAATAAGGGTTTTGTTCATTGCCTAGGGCACTTACTTCTACTCATGCTTGTATGGTCTGGTGGACAGATATACTGATGGAAACACTAGTGATCCTTTCTGTGGGCATAATTAGTAAGTCTGCCACTTCTACAAGATCGTCTGGATTCGCCACTTAAAATGCTATATTTAATTTTAAGATGAATGCAATCCAATTCACTTTCTCCCAATAGGCAATATCACCAGAAGCACTGGTGGAAAAGGTGGCACAGAAGATCGCCGGCGTGAAAAACGTCATTACCAGCGAGGCGGAGGAAGAGGTAGCAGCACCACTGACCAGTCCGAGGCAAGTAATCTTAGCTGGCCTTGTGAATGAATGTTTCCGAGCAGTGTGTTTCTATGCATTGCTGTAAACTTTGGTTTTTGTTTTCCTAGGAGAGAGAGAGAGTAATGTAATAACATCGTTCCTTCTTTCCTTCTGTTTAGTTATCTGGAGTCATCAAAGGAGGAGCGAACAGAAGTAATTCACACCGATGGTGCCTACCCTGGGTTTTCAGGTAGGCCTCTAAAAGGCCTTATCAGTACACCTATTGATGTGGTCGTGACGGCAGCATCCGAAAGTCTGGATGAAGACTCCTCTCTACTCCATTCTCAGAGTCTTCCTTCACTTCTCTTCACGCCTACGCAGTTCACAGAAAAAATCGGAGGACTACAATCCCTTCTGAGTATTCGTCGCACTCCTCTGGGTGAGGAGACAATCGCAAAAGAAGACTCCTTCTGGTCTGATGACACACACAGTCGTCCATCTCTACCATCAACTCTGCCCTATACAAGTCGTGAAATTACCCCTCTAGGCGTTGGGATCCGTCAGTCCGATGTCCCAACACCTCACTCATTGAAGGAAGGTGGACCGGGTCGTCTTGAAGTCACCGGCAGGCACTATAAACCGCCACCCCCTCTGGAAATACGCCCTCGGTTGGCAAAATATCATGAACGTTATGGAGCCCTGCCTCCACTTCAGGGTAGAACTCTGGCTGTTCATAGTCTCGAGCCATCTGACTCCCTGGTCTCCCTGACTCCTGACTACCTCCAGACTAGCAGCTTGCTGGAGACGGAAGAGGGGGAGGGTTCAGGTCTCGTCACCTCGGTCAGCCCGAAGACCCCTGTCGAAGTCTCCCAGCCCTTGACTCCTCCTTTACCTATTCTTTCTGCAAGTGCCGATGCTACTGACTCCTCTGTCCTGGCAGTGCCGGAGGAGCAGGTCATGGATTGGTACGTTAAGTGTGTCGCCGAAGGGAACCTACTGCAGAAAGAACAGGTTCCTCCTGCATCACTGCCCACGATAAAACAGTCAAAGAGGAGTTTCTACTTTGCCGCCAAACTGTCATCCATGCCAGTGGATGAGGAGTTGTGCGAGCTGGAAGTCGAGAAGACGGATGCTCTGGGCTCCCCCGAGACCCTTCATGATTCTCTAGCTACAAGCAGATCCTCTGCTGCACAGTTATTTGGTCCTCGAAAAAGTAATCTCCTCCAGGCTGCTCGTAACCTTCTGGAGTTCGACAAACACACTATGCACATGGCGAGTGGAAACCGAAAGCGGGAAATTAAACGACAGTTGCGTATGAATCGAATAATTCAACAGTTACGCAAGAAACTTAGGCCTACCGAGATCGCAGAACTATTTTCCGATCTGTATACGCGTAATCCAAGCAAACGCACTGAAATCCTCTTGGAGGAAACCGGAAAAATTGTCGATGCAATGACGAAGTAAGCTCAAAAGTTTTCGCACTCCCTTTCTTTTTCCCACCTGGAAATGAGAGTCCCTGAACATATTCACTTGCGCGGCCTTCGCAACGGCCTTGCTGATAATGCTGGCAGTGGCCACAGTAATAGTAGTGGTGGTGCTGATGGTGGTGGTGGTAGTAGTAGTAGTAGTAGTAGTAGTAGTAGTAGTAGTAGTAATAGTAGTAGTAGTAGTAGTAGTAGTAGTAGCAGTAGTAGTAGTAGTAGTCGTAGTAGTAGTAGTAGTAGTAGTAGTAGTAGTAGTAATAGTAGTAGTAGTAGTAGTAGTAGTGGTAGTAGTAGTAGTAGTAGTAGTAGTAGTAGTAGTAATAGTAGTAGTGGTAGTAGTAGCAGTAGTAGTAGTAGTAGTAGTAGTAATAGTAGTAGTAGTAGGGTTCGAATGCCATTGGGGCGCCAAGTCTTTCGTAAATGAATCAGGTGACCCTCAGCACTGAAAAAATGTATCCCTAACAATAGGCATAAGGTTTTATTCGTCTACGTCCAACTAAAGCTCTTCTAAACACTTTAAGTTCTGTCCCTATTTACAAAACACTCTTTGGTAAGCTTTCTGCTTTTCTCAGCATATGATATGAGAGCTTGGGGTAAAGTATTCGGGACAAGTTTTTACGGTTTTATTCCCACGACGGGCTACGCGAAGAGGCGCTAGGCCAACATGGGAGCCAAAGTAGGGCGTGGTAGGCGTTACCCAGACTCGGCGGCGTTCGCGCCCTCAATAACAAACGTCACACATGGGGGAGGATGTGGTGGCACGCCTAGACGCAGACTCACGCGGCGCCAGGCACCTGCGTCCAGTCCCCACATCGGGTGACCTACCTGTTTTGGCAATGGACTGCTGCAGGGGAGAGGGGGGAGAAAATGAGGCCTTTTCTGCGATATACATTCCCACGGCACTCCAGCTCATTCCCCGCCGTAAACAATTCTAACACGCCCCATAACTATCACGGCGCGCTAAAGTCCTGGCTTGTGAGGCTGCCAACTGACAGGGTTTACTTGGTCCTCTCAGAACCGAGAATCAGGCTGCGATGGTTCCTTTTGAATGTGATCTTTATGGCACTTCCACTCAGCTGGGATCCGAGCCACTCTGTGAAAAATCTCCCCCATCGTGCGCGGGCTAGTAGTGTGTGGCACGCCTATGTGGGCTGTTAAGATCTGTTAGCCACTGCGCCCGATCTTTCTGACTCAGTCTCATCATCAGGTCTCGTGGAGGAGGATAGAGTGTTGCAGATGCTTCGAAAGTCCACTATCATTACAAAGTAATTCAGGCGTAAGTCACCCTCCTGCACCCACCATGCGGTGAGGCACACGGTGGCCATCGTCATTCGCGACGGTCGACCGGACCACTCATGAAGTGAAATCTATCATCATTAGCTGAATGACCGAGTTGGCAATAGAAGCGAAGAGACGAGTCCCAGGAAGTAGTCTTGAAGAAGCCGGGAGCTACTAGAATCATGGTTTACTGGCCCCCAGTCCATCAACAAGTGCAACGATCTTCCCACTCCATACTCCGTGCTAAAACTTCGCCTAGGCGGAGTAACAAGCCATGCAGGGAGGGCAGAGGTAAACACTTTTCCCAACACCGGGGTCGGTGCGTCAGATGGTCGAGCAATCATCACGCCAACATCCAACGCACGTGATGAAATTGCAGCAATTATCGACTCGAATGTCGACCATCAAGCAATGATCACACCAAGTGCGACGATCCCGGTCGAAGGGGGGAGCCGTGAATGTTCATAGGTATGCGGTAGCATGGCTACTGCATCCTATAAATACCGCAGCCCCTTGTGCAACAACCACCCGTATCTGCTTTTTTGTCTCTGATGATGGATTCGAGTAGGAATCCGAAACGTCAGGCTACTAAAGCTCTTGTTCCGGCGATCGTGTCTCCTTCTTCATGACCGAGTTGTCTTTGCAAGTTGTCAACAGGATAGCAAAATATCTTTAGCTCATCAACAAGTCCTTCACTGTCCGCCCAAATGGCTCTCTTCTGTAGAAACACATCAAACGCCTGTCCTTCAGATTCTACCGATAGATCACGAATTAATTTCACATTCATCAAGTATATCATACTTCCGCATAAAATCAACGAAATGCATGTCTGGGCCTTTAGCTAGTTCCCTTGTTGGTAGTCTAATAAATTAATCTAGCCAGCAGTATTAAGTCGTCATTTTTAGGGCATTGTCAGCCACCCAAATTGGTATCGACATAGTAACGTTTCCCTTTTGTCATTAGTTAGTTTGGCCCGTGTGCAACTACGAAGCCTGTGACAAAAATGTCTGCCTTATATCTAATAAGTTTTCATTATCAAGTAACTCATGAATGTGCTAACTTTGTGAAACGTCTCTAATCACTCATAACCCCACCCAAACACATTTGTCAAAGCTCCCAGCTGATAATGAACGACTTTAGGTGAAATCGAGCATACAATTAATGCTTAAAGTAATATTACGTTTTTAGAAGCAACACTTCTCTTAAGAAAATCGGAAATACCAAAAGTACGAAAAGTCATGTCAATTGGCTAAACTCGATTTCTAAAAGTACATAAAGCCTGTTTACCCATAGAAAAAGGAACCTTTCCAGGACGGGTTAGAGAAATACGCAAATTGCACAACGTGTTAGATGTCCCAGAATTCGCAGCCAGTTTCCCGTTACTACGTATAATGAGCTACGCCATCTACTGCCCATCGTGGTGTTGTATTTCACGACTCATCGGTGTACTTGAGGTGGAAATAATGTAATCAAGACAGCTGCACGGTAAGTCAAGTGACAGTAGTATGAAGACACCATATAAACAATGGTACTATTTCGTCCATGTTAAAATGTACAGCATTCAACAGTTTAGTATTGTCGCATGCTCGAAGAGTGCATGACTGAGAAGTATTAATGGCGAAGACTTGGGTGACTGGAATCACCCCTTCTGGTCGCTTGGTCGTTGTTAGCCAGACGCAACCCACATACAGGTCGAGAGACATTTGGTTTTTAATAACCTGGGTTCAGAGGTGGTCCCATGTGTTTTACTTTAGTGGAGAATGAATGGGATATTTCGTCGGAACCAAGCCGTGCTTGCCTTTTCGGAGATCACATCTGGACCCAGTAGTCAAAATGGTCCCTTGCAGGCACTTCTAGCCAATTTTTGCCTGCTTGTGACATATTATTTTCATTCACCTCTGTTCGTTTTTTCCTTGATTTCACTGGATACCCAGTTCTCTTGTTAAATATAAAGGAAAAAACGTATTTCGGGAGGCAAGTGAGATCAAGGGGCTGCGATTGCTGGAACAAGACTTGTCAGCGTGACTTTTCGGTTTCTCCCTCGAATACATCACCAGAGACAACAGTAGATAAGGGTCTGTGAAGCCTGGATTCAAAAAAGTTCCATTCTATAAAAGATCAACACGTGTGTAGATTTTGGGTTTACAGCAACACCCACGGAGTCCATACACATCTCCGGTCGGTTACATCTCCTTTTGCCATTAAACCACGATGGTTGAGGAATTAAAGAGTGGGTTAAGTACTCTGCAGACCTCCCTCACTATACCTAAAGTCATTCGCTAACCCACACTGCTCCGCTCCCCTTACAGGACAGCGTTGATCCCCGCTGCTCGCGACGGCCGAATCATCAGTAGTGGCGATGAACCACATCTGGAAGTTTTAGTCCGTTTCCCCTCTATAACAGGGTCGTTTCTTCTGTAGAACGTTGCTATCGGAACCCACCTAGGTTAAACACTAGAATAAGTATCTCGCACTGTAGATGGCCTTGCGCTGCATTCCAGTAAACGTGTCTAGTCCCGTGTTTTAACTTCTACCCTAACCCCAACCACGACGCTAACCATAAAATTAACCATCCTAACACTGGCCAGAAACTTCCTAGCCCTGGCCTTGACCCTAACACCTTGGAATTTGGCACAAGTTCACCCATAAAACGGGATGCGTAAATGCAACCGTGCCCTGTAGCCGCCTATTCACTGACCCCATTTGCAGCAATAGACTTAGCCACAACTTGCCATCTTGCCAGCTGTCGTCACATTTAGTCAATCATAACCCTAGCCAACAAGTGGCATCAGAAACACAAACAGGCGCTCGTGCACGGTGTGCATGATCCAGAGACGGGGTCCAACAGATGGGTCATTAATGTTTCTCAACCTATCATTCTCTGTCGCTGCAGATCGAGTTTTTATTCAATCAGCTCCCAGCTGGTAATCGGAAATATGATTGACTGAATGGCGGCAAAATATGGCCGAAACAGTACTGTATCAATCTACCCATATTATCTGTCGTCCCTCCTCTCGGCTATTTTAACTTGACCGGCTTCAGCCTGGTAGTTCCTTTCCTGTTCGTGATAGTGGCCACCCATACGGAGCTTCGCTGTTTCGAGAAGCCAGACGATCGGTGTGCGCCCATTTCTAATTGAATATATACCTGATCTACAACGACAGAGAATGAACGGGGGTGAGACACTGATGAACTTCGCTTCGATGAAGTGCTTATGATCCATCTGCCGGACCACGTCTCTGGATCATGCAGGCCGTGCACGAGCGCCTGTTTTTGGTTCTGGTGCTCGTTGTTGGCTAGGGTTATGACTGACTTAATTAAAGGAGAATAAGCCCGAAACTGTGCTGCATCAATCTACCCACGTCATCTTTCTGTTTCCCCATGCAGCGAACTTGAAATATGTGGTCCGACCGATTGTGGACGACGCGTGGTGCGACCCTCGTCCATTTGCCCACTGGAGTGGTATCGTCTGGGCGCCAAAGGTATAATCCTGGAGGATAGCACGTTGAATTACCCCTCTAATCCTGATGTCAAAGCTCACTGTCCGGCTGAGATGATAGCGAAAGTTGGACTCACCAAGTACGGATTCACAATGCAAGAGATTTTACAGAGAGCGGACCTGATAGGTTACATTAGCAAGGCGATAAAGGATAAAGGTATGTCATGTCCCGTTTTTCCATCCAATTTTATAGCGCCCACAATTATTTAAGTATTGGAAACCACTGCGGGATCTTTGGCATTCTTCAATACCACTCCCTCTCCCGAAAATCACAGGATAAAATGACACCGGCATGCATATATTTTACTAATTAGATCTTAGCTAATACCTGTTCTGGCTTTGTGGTAAATCGAGCCAGCATCTCAGGCTGCCAGTTTTCTGATTGCAACTCTGAAATAAAACGCGGTTATTTTGTCGAAATTAATGTATTTCGGCTAAGGTATTCAAAGCGAACCCTTGAGCAAGCCCCAAAAGGTTTATCTAAAATGATTTGCTCCAGGCTCATGCATTAATTTCTGGGGGAATGAAAAGGTTTAACGTAGACACTAGTGTTCGTCACAACTGAGTCGCCGTTGTTGTGGCGAGCGGAGCGAAGCATGGTTGCCTATCGGCTCTGAACCT